TTTTTGAAACTTCCGCCACCGCCTTGTGCGGTACTACTGGTATGGCATATTGATACATAAACCCAGATGATTATGGTTTTCCCATGTTTTTTTTAAACAAAACCATGGTATTCGAGTCGCTTCGCGACGGGTACCGCCCCCAGAAAATCCGAACCAAAGACCGACTGGGATCAAACTTGGCCGTCCTTGGCCTTAAGTTGGGAGCACGAGCCAACTTGGGCCCAACTTGAGCCCAACGTTTGGGCGCAAGTTGGGCTTAACATGCGCAACGTGGAGGTGGGCCCAAGACAGGCCCAATGTGGGGAACATGGCCTTGCACGAACCCGCCGAGTGGGTCCGGGTTGGGCCCAAGTTGGGGCCTTGTTGGCCAATGTTGACCCCAAGTTGAGCAGATGTTGCGGACATGTGGGTCGAAACGGTGCATCTGGACGATGTTGGGCTGATCTGCAAAATGACGTCGCCCGTTTGTGCCCCTCTCTGCTAAACTAGCACGCCTCGGCACCTTTGGCGTGGGCGGATTTCGTTTCTTTCCCCGGAGGTTTTAGCCGACGGCTGGATGCGTGGGAAAACTGGTTGGCCGCCAGAGAGCAGGTGAGGTGTTAAAGCATGTAGGGTGGGAAGCACATAAAGCAACAAAAACTCTTGTGATTTGATGGCCGTACGCTCTGTCAGCATAGTTGAAATTGTTGAAACATGGTTTCTTTCCACATGTTTCACACGCAGAGAGAGAGAGAGAGAGATAGAGATATGAATAGAAACGGGGTGGTGATCTCCATTGAGGATGATATTTTTTGGAGTTCTCCATCCTGAGTCAATGGGCCTTGTCCAAAAATATTAGAATTTCTGAAAAAGGTTTCTGTGTATACAGGGTTTCTTTAAATACCGATGGTTTCGTACCACCACTTTCCCTAAACCATCGACAAAAACATGGCTTCGAATCCTCCTCCAATCCACTGGTCAGGCCTCGTTTCGGAGCAGCTTTGAGCACGAACTCAGGCACGCCGTCCAAAAATCTTAGGGCAAGGCGCATTTTTTTGTAGATCCAAAAACAATCTTTGTTTTTTTTGGATGCTGTTATGCATTTTTCCTTGTTCTCATGCTACAAATCCACAGATTGTTGCTACAGAACAGGAGTTCTTGGTTGCTGAAAAAGATGCCGCATTTCTATCTGCTTCCAGCCCCGAGGCGCCTCTATGCAGATCAACTGCCAGCGCCAGGCAAAGTGGTTGGCTGGAAAATGCCCCATCTATGGTTGATTTTCCAAGCAGTAAACTTCCATGGCTAGGTCACGATAGGTCACGGGGATTTCCCAGCCATGTTTGATTACCAGAGGGTAATTGAACCAACTGGGGATCGAGGCAACGAACATGGTACACGACTTGGATACTGTGAGGACTCAACATACAGAAGAGATCAACGCGGTTTTGGCAGTCTTGCTATGTCTTGGAACTTTTACAACAAAAGGCATGAAAAACCAACAAAAAGTCGAGAGTCAAACCATGAAAACTGTCGAGCAGTCCGTGATTCATACCACACAAACTTGAGGTCTGAGAATAGAATCCCCCCCAAAAATAGGAATGTACTTAGTACCTGTACTTCAATCACCACCAAAATAACAGTTGTTGGTTATTCCTTTTTTCCGATGATTTGATGGTGGGGGTTTCCATCAATGGGGGATCCCAATAGCTGGTTGGTTTATTTCATGGAAAACCCCATTAAAATAGATGATTTGGAGGTACCCCCATTTCAGGAAACCCTCATATATATATATTGTTAGATCTTTTCCATGTCTGCAACGCAGCATGGATGACACGCACAAATCATAGAAGTGTCATGCAGGAATTGCACAGGTTACTGCATAACATATGCAGATGGACGCCGCTACAAGTGGCTCAATTGCCTGGAGAAAAGGAACGCATTTGCTGTGCTCCGCCATTCAACATGGCAGCGGAGCCCAAATGGGCGACGCATGGGACGATCGCGGTGTTGGTGGTGGCGCTGCTGATCCTACTGCCAAAGATGACAACTGGCAATCACCACCATCAATTCGATGGACATGGGATTGCCTTGGACTATGTGGATCTGGCGTCCCCCTATGTCATGGATGAGCCCAATAGCGCTTCGGAAACTTCTAGCAGGAGAGACCTGAAATGGGAAGCTGAAGAAGCTGAAGACCTTGCTGGCTTTGGTGAAATGGAAAGTGCCTACTCTGAGGCGCTGGTGGTCTACGAGGACTACATGGAGACGATCTTTGAGTCTTGTGGTTGCGCCTGGAACTCTCAGTGCTGCAGTATGGGATGGATTGGAACCATCGACAGGTGGATTGGAACCACTCCTGCGGGGATTTGGGACCCTGAGGTAGCTTTGGAACTTGTAGCTTCGAGGATGGGAACCTCGACACTTGCAGCTTCGAGGATTGGAACCTCGACATTGGTGCGCTTGGCAAGCTCACTGCATGAGGCTTGGTGGAGTTCTATGCGCTGGCTGGTTGCATGTGCTTGGACTTCTACGTGCACATTCAGGTCTTTGAGTATGACATGGTTTTCCTGCTGGCCAATGACTTCAGGTGCGCTCTTCCTGCTCTTCTTTGTCATCATTCTGAAGAAGCTCAACTACAAGAGGAAGAGACGACAGCGTCTTATGCAGAGCCACTTGGGCCAATGCAGATGTCCCTACAGAAAGCCGAGACGTTGGAATGGACATCTACAAGCACGATGGAATGCCTACATGAAGCTGAAGGGATGCATCTTTCTCCTGATGTACACCCAGACCATGGCTATGGATGCTGCTCAGGCCAATGACCTTTTGAGCCGCATCATGGAGCTTTCAACAGCGGCAACTACGGCTGCAAACACGGCCAACACCATGCTGGAGACTTTCACTAGCAATGGAGGGAGAAACAGCCAACCTCGTTTTGGAGATGGTGCAAAGGTTTTGAGGAGCCCTGACACCTTCGACACTGATGACCCTGTGAAGTACACGATGTGGCGTGAACAGTTTTTGAATTGGTTGACATTTTGTGACAACCGGTATGCTGAGCTGATTCAAGATGTGGAGCAGTTGGAAACTATGACAACTCTTGGGTCTTTGGATGAGGATGTGAAGGACCTGGCTCGGAAGCTGTACTCCATCCTCAGCTCTTATCTTCAAGGTCCTGCTCTACAAATTGTTCGTGCCAACTCAGGTGATCGAAATGGTTTTGCAGTTTGGCATAGGTTGAAGGAGCTATATGCACCTCGAGCACGTCCCAGAGCTTTGGCCATTGGACAGGCCATCATGCAGCACCCAAGCTTTTCTCAGCAACGCTCCATGTTGGAGAATTTGTTGCAGTTTGATGCCTTGCTGGACCAATATGAACTTGCTGCTGGGCATCGCATGCCAGACGACCTGACAGTAAGCACTGTCCTCAGGTGCTTAGATGGTGGCACCAGACGTCACCTTGAGATGATCATGGACGACACCATGGACTATGCCAAGTTGAAGGACAAGCTGATCCTCCTGGACAAAAACACCAAGGCTTGGTCTGGTGACAACTTCTTGAAGAACCTCCAGCTGATGAATCAGCCCACTTCCTCGAGCTCTTCAACATACCAAGGGCCTGCCCCCATGGAGATCGACCAGGTTCAGTTTGGGCAGAAAGGCAAAAGCAAGGGCAAGAGCGGTCAGAAAGGGAAGAAGGGCAGTTGGTTTGGATTTCCCTATGGAGGTCGTGGTGGAGGATCCAAAGGTGGTAGAAAAGGAAAATCAAAGAGCAAAGGCAAGAAAGGCAACAAAGGCAAAGACAAGGGAAAACAGCACAAAGGAAAAGGATATAGCGGTGGTGGCAGTGGTCGCAATCAATGCAGAATTTGCGGCCAGTATGGCCATTGGGGCAATGAATGTCCTATGAAAGGTGGGAACGTCAACCAGGTCAACAATGCTGGTGGCAATGGTGGAGGTGAACAACTACCAGTTGATGTTGCAAGCACTACTGGCTCTACCTCTACACGCAGAACCAGCTCTACATCGATGACTTCCCAAGCCACAACCTCTGGAACCAAATCTGTGAGGCTTGTGAAGATGTACCACGTGGCCACGCCCCCAGCAGAGCACCCAGAAACCTTCGATCTTCGAAGTGATTTGGATGATGACGAGTACTCAGTGAGGATGGTGTCACTTCAGACACCCACCATGTGGTACAAGATGGATGTGGAAGATGGTGACCCTGAAGGTAACCACGTTTGGGCATCAGATCCTCTCATGGATTGGTACCATGGGGTTTCAACAACTCTGGATTGGAGCCAGGGTGAATCTGATGGCATGGAGAACTTGGAGAAGTACCACATTAGAATGGTGCCTGCGACAGACCAGTTGGTAGTTTTGGATTCAGGTGCTGACATCAGCCTTTTGCCTTACCACCTCAGTGGATGTGGAATTGAAAAACATGGTGGACATGCAATCCTTGAGGATGCACAAGGTGAGCGTTTGAAAACTTTTGGACGTAGGTCAGCCAGGGTGGAATGTGAGGGCCTCAACAACGATTTGGTTGTCATTGAGGATGACTTCATTGTGGCATCAGTGCAGAGCCCTTTGATTTCCTTAGGACGTTTGCTGCACCGTGGATGGACTTTGTCACCTGGCAATTCTTCTGGCGCCAAGGTGAATTTGGTTTCCCCTGATGGAGCTGCAGCAATTCCTTTGCAGTTCAAGAGGAATTCCCTGGCAGTGCTGGCAAGCATTCGAGTTGTGAGTGCGCGAGATGTGGCTGAGCCTTCATCAACTTCAACAAGGAGAACATCCCATGGAGGTGAACAACACTATGGCATGGTGGATGAGGACAAGGACATGATGGTTGTTCAAACGGTGATCAAGCCACGAGATGAACTTCTGCAACGAGTCTTTCGACGTGGCTGGGCTGTATCAAGCACAGGTAACCCTTTCATCATCATGCCTGCCTCCAACCGGTACCTCAACCCTGGGATTTCATACTCCAGAGATGAATGGCCTTTGAGATCAACAGCTTTTCAACATGATGATTTGTCATGGGAGCTTGTGGAGACTTGCAACCAGTACTACCTGGACGAGGAGATTGAGGACGAGATTCCAGGTTGCCACAAGCCGACTCTTGTGCTCACTATGCTGCACAAGAAGGAGGAATCGACTGACGTCTTAGGAGCAGTCTGCGGTCAAGAGCTGGTAGAAGCAGGTGGCACTGAAGTGAACTTGGATGGTTTTGGTTTTGCTGAGGAGCCGGGTGTCCCTGCAGAGCTGTTGGAAGGCCAAAAGCCTGAGGAGTTAATGCAAGTTGATCCTCAACCGGTGGGATCACAAGAAGTTCCTGAGTTTGTCTGGGAGTTTGAGAACAGAGACTCCCTGGTTGTCAACGGCACCACCATCACGGTGGAAAGCAGCTTGGTTTTGCTCAGAGCTGCTGCCAGTTTTCTTGGTGTCAATCAAGGTGGATCCAAGAAAAGCCTATGGCACAGAATCAACCAACGTGCCCAAACCTTGGAACACGAGGAGAGCTTTGTCACGGCCAACAAGCTCTACATGGAACAGCAGTGGCAGAAAGGGCTGGTTGGACAATCTGTCCCACGTGAACCAACAGAAGAAGAGGTGAAGCAACATGAACTGGCTCACCTACCTTTTCAACCATGGTGCCCCTACTGCGTCAGTTGCAAAAGCAAGCAAGATCCACAACGACCAGTTGAACATCAAGAAGAAGAAAGGAGATCAATTCCCAGCATTCAGCTGGATTACTGCTTTTCCAAAGCTGATGGATCTGACTACTTGAACACGATCTTGGTGGCCATCGACTGTCAGACCAAAATGATCTCAGTGCACCCTGTACCTTCCAAAGGAGCCAATTCACGTGGACAAGCTGAACATTTGGTGCGGTTCTCAATGGCTCTCAACTACATGGATCGAGTTGAATTTGACAGCGATGCTGAACCCACCATGAAATCTCTCTTAGCAAGTGTTCAGCTGATGAGACAGCATCTGGGTTATCCGACAGTGGTGACTCATTCCCGTCCTGGAGACAAAGGTCGTACTGCCCAGGTGGAACGGGTGATACAAACTTTGAGGAGGCAAAGCCCAACTTTGGTTCAGATGGCATCTGACAGATGCAGCCTTCAACTACCTGGTGACCATGCAATCTGGCCCTGGTCTTTCGTTCATGCTGCTTGGACCCTGAACCGCTTTGTCAACCACACCACGACCCAGATGAGCCCCTTTGAGCTGGTGTATGGAAGGAGGTACTCAGGCAAGGTAGCCTGTTTTGGCGAAATGGTTTTGGTCTTGCATCGCCGTGGGCTCAACACCAAACTTGGCCCACAGTGGGTACCTGGAATTTGGCTCACAAAGACTGATGGAGATGACCTTCATGTCGTTGCTACCCCAAATGGTATGGTACGTGGAAAGGCAATCAGACGCCTTAGTGACCCTTGGAGAGCAACATGGCTCTTCATGCTGAAGGACAAGCCTTACAAGCAAGTTTTGACAAGGAAGGCAACTTTGAAGAATCTTCGATTTGGTGCTCCAACAACGCCCAAGCCGGTGACTGAGAAGCATCCAACAATCCCTGAGGAGGCGATTGACTATGATGCCAGAGATGTCAGAGAATATGCCCGGACACACCCTCCAAGCCCTGTGAGTGACTTGGAAGACTTCGAGCTTGAGCATGGGATCAAACGTGATGGTCCTGAGGAGCAGCTTTCTCCAAACAAAGCTGCGCGACAAGGAGAAGCACCTGGAGATTCTGGTGAAGCTTTGGTGGATGATAGCAATGTCGAGGAGCCTCAACAGAAAGCACCTCGAGTTAGCCCTCAAGGAAGTCCTTCTTCAGCAACGGCAAGCAGTCTTTACCCACCTCAGTTTGCTGGCAACATCCAGCAAGTCTTGGAGATTGGAGAGATCGATGATGAGATCTGGGAAAACGAAGTGGCAGACTACATGGATGAGTCTGAAGAGTTTCAACTTGGAGAAGGTTTGGATGATTCACCAATGGACGAAGGTAGACCTCCAGTTCTTCCTCAACATGAGCTAGAAGCCTTGGACGAAGCAGCTGGGTACAAAGAGATCTCACGTCTCTTGGAAATGGGAGTGTTGGAAGAACCCAGTGCAGAAGATTTGGAGCAAGGGGTGATTCTCTCAACCCGCAGTGTCATGGACTGGAGAGTGCGTGATCAAGAATGGCAAAGGCGTTGCAGGTTTGTGGCAAGGGAGTTCAAGGGCACTGACCGTGGAACCTCTGCAACATTTGCGCCCACTTCAGGGATTGGAGCCCGTCTACTGCTGATAGCACATTGCTGTCTGGGATGGTTTCTGAGTTTCGTGGACATCAAAGATGCCTTTTTGCTGGTGGACCAGCGTGAGCGCATTTTGGTTCAGAAGCCTACGTGGTGGCGCATGGAGGAGTCTGCAGAGCAAAGCAACTTTTGGAGTTTGCGCAAGTGCCTGCCTGGTCAACGCAATGCAGCCTCAAGGTTCTTTGACTTTTTGGCTGAGCACCTTCAGTCATTGGGTTTCAAAAGCACAATGCTACTCCCAAGCCTGTTTAGGCACACAGAAAGGAAGCTCATGGTTTGTTCTCACGTGGACGACCTCGTCTTGTGCGGTGAGAAGGAAGATTTGGAATGGCTGGTTTTGGAATTGAGAAAACGGTTCACTTTGCAAGGTGGTGAAATCTTACCCCGTCCTGACCAAGATCCCAATGAACCAATCAGATTCCTCAAGAAACGTCACTTTTTCACCAAGGCGGGGATTGTGATCAGCCCGCACGAGCGATACAGTGAGGACCTCCTGAAGCTCTACAGCCTGGAAGGGAGGAAGCCCAAGTCCACTCCTGATGTGTCCTACGAGAACTATGACTCGCGAGAGTTGGACGACGCTGGCAAGCACAGATTCCGATCTGCAATGGGTACGCTCTTATACTTGAGCCAGGATCGACCAGATCTACAACATGCAGTTCGCCATCTCAGTCAGTTCATGGCGAAACCAACAGCTGCAGCAGAAGCAGGAGTCAAACATGTGATCCTGTACCTCAAAGGAACTCCTGACCTTGGAATTTTGCTTGGGTATCAGGTGCCAAGCAACAGCAAGCTGGATGAAGTACGAGGTGATCCTGGAACTTTGGAAGCTGGAACCCATTTGGTAGAGGCATTCACAGATGCCGATTGGGCCGGTGACAAATCAAGTGAGACCCGGAAACGCCACTCAGTTTCCTCAGCGATGGTCTATGTGAACAATCGCCTGGTTAGCTCATGGTCGAGGACGCAGAAAAGCATTGCTCTTAGCAGTTGCGAGAGCGAGTACCTGTCAGCGGTGAGTGGAGGAGCTGAAGCCCTCTATGTGTCCCGTCTTTGGTCCTTTTTGGTGGAAAAGGAAGTTCAGGCCAAGATCGTCACGGACTCATCTTCCTGCCGAGCTTTTTCACAGAGGCAAGGAGTTGGTCGACTCAAACATGTGGAGACCAAATACCTGTGGCTCCAACAGCAGATCAAATCTGGAAGTTTGGAGATGGATGGTGTGGCGACGGTACTGAACATCTCAGACCTTGGAACAAAGAAACTGACAAAGGTGAGGCGATGTTTCTTGATGTACCTCATAGGCCTGGTGGAATTCGACCCCAACACGAAGTCCTACGTTCCGGCTGGAGAAGATGAATTCAATGTCTTCATGCAGAAGAAGTACATGGGTCAAAGCATGAAAGTGATTCGCCGAGTGGTTCTCAACACGTTGGCAGATGGTGCTTCGGAATTTCCAGTTCCTGTGGCGAAGCCTTTGGTGAAAGCGCTGACCATTCTTTCGCTGCAATCCGTGGTTGGTGGCTCGCGAATGGAGGAAGCGAACTATGAGGTGATGGTTCGCAACTACAACTTGGTGGAGATCTTCGCGGACTTCCCTGGCTTCATGATGGTGTATGCCCTGGTATTCTTCATGGTTGGTTTGGCCTGCAGATTCGCTCTGAAGAAGGCCACACATCGATGGCAGCTCTCAAAAGTGCTCGACTGGGCGATCGAACAGATTGGAAATCGCAAGGAGATCACCTACGTGGATGACTGGGATCCTGAAAGACATGAACTTCGACAGTTCCGAGTGCTGAAGCATGTGGATGATGCAGAGAGCGGAGAAGAATACTTCAGAGAAGTACCTGGTGGAATGGCGAGATTCGTGAAGCTGGATCGAAGAAGACGAGCTCACCATGGATTCGCTGAAAGCGATGTCATGAACGCCTACGACCTCTCAGATGGTGAGAATGCCGAGGAGGAGCCTATGGAGATCGACGAGGAGGAGACCAATCTTCCGCCGGTGGCGGCACTATCCGCTGCAATGGCTGAAGCGGATCAACATGGACATGCAGGTCAAAGTGCTGGAAGCCAAGATCACGTGTCTGACAGCAACACACGTGAGTATGTGGACCTGCCTGGTTCGCCGGAGAGCGATCATGTTCCTCCTACTCTTCCTTTGGTGGGCGTGGACTGGAATGACAACGAGGAGATCATGCGGCACTATCCTCGCATCGAGCGTGAGAGAGCCTTACGTGTACAGCAAGTAGGAATGTTCAATAGCGCGGTGTTTCAAGAGTACCTAAAGGTTCATTTAATGACCTTGTACCCCAATCAACCGGACATGCTATGGGATTTTCCAGCGTTCTGGACTCAGAACGAAAGGCATGGTTTCACAGTGTTTTGTGACATCATCACCCGTGGAAGGTATCTCAACAACTTTGGAACATTTGTTGAACAATGGTTCATTCAAGAGGAATGGCAGAATAACATTCCTGGTCCCGAGATTCCATGGAGTGATGAATAGCAAAATTGCGCCTCAAATCGACACAATTTTGAGGCGGGGGGTTAGATCTTTTCCATGTCTGCAACGCAGCATGGATGACACGCACAAATCATAGAAGTGTCATGCAGGAATTGCACAGGTTACTGCATAACATATGCAGATGGACGCCGCTACAAGTGGCTCAATTGCCTGGAGAAAAGGAACGCATTTGCTGTGCTCCGCCATTCAACATATATATATACCCTCTGGTTATTTAACATAGCCATGGAAAATCACAATTTTTAGTAGGTAAACCATCTATAAGTGGGCCATCTATACCATGGCTATGTTAAATAACCAGAGGGTATATATATATATAGAATATATAGAATATATATATAGAATATACATAGACATGTATATAAAATGACCCAACTTGTTGTTTATCATTCTTCCCTTGGAACTGCCATTGGGACCTGGCGGGTTTTTATGGGGCCTTGAGGCCTCCTGGATCTTTGGGGGCCATCGGTCAGGAGTTGCTGGTCTGGTCATGGCTGGGAAAACCTAGCTATTTGGGACATGGGGAACCCGAAAAATCGATTGATTGGATCAAATTTACATGTGGGTATGGGTCAAAATTAGGTACCTCAATTAAATTGGATGGTTAATACTAAACTAGACATTTTTATATCTGTGGTCCCCTATATAGGTCTTCCAGCTATTGACCCACATCCATGGCCATGAATCGGGGGACCACATCTTCGGAGCAAACGTTTTTATTGATGGGCGGAGCAAATCTCCGCACTGCGAGGACCATGGAGAAGTGTCACCTTCTCTCGTTCAGTGAGAAGGAGGTCATAGCGGAGTTCCGAAGAATGTGAGTAAAGCAATGTCACAAACCATCCATAGTTTGATGGTTGGAATCCTACCCATGGTAAATTTCGGGATGGTTTATTATTGTTTTACTAACATTAGCATTAGTGTTAATGATAGGTGTCCTTTTCCTACCCGTTGGTTGATTGAGGGGTTCCAGCTTATATCCCATTAGAGAAGCAATGAGTACTGATAAATGGTATACCAGGCCAGCCCCTCGGTTCTTCCCGATACGATCTTGTTGAATGTTAACACAGGATGAATACACCACCAGTTTCCTAATAGCTGAGGGTAGCAAGTCCAAGTGTCAATTTGTGATCGCTATCTTGGGGACCAAGCCCGCGATCTTTCCTCGAGGTTATTAATCCAGGGTTGACAGTACCCTAAAGCCATGGTTGTTTCGACACAAAAACCAATGTCTAAAGTCTTCGATTTTAGGAAGAAAACACATAGAACCAAAGTGCAGTATGGATGGCAGTTGAGCGAAGTATCTATTGAATCAAAGAGAATTAGGTTTTTGTTCGGAAAAGACGCGAGCTTTCAACTTAGTTGTTGCACATTGAAGGTTTTCCACTGGGAGAAAATACACCCATGGTGCCATGGGTCAGAGGAAAGAGTATTGTTAGACATATGATATAGACATACATCTGAGACAAGTCTCATGATGGTTCAATTCACTAACGAGGATTGCTACCAGCATCCCATTTTGAGAGGAACCAAATCACAGAGCACCTGAGGTACTTTGTGGATCGGTGTAATTCCCCAGGAAAGGGAGGGCTTCAGATCTTCATGACCCCAAAAAAATCCTGGATCAGATTTCTCTCCTTGCGGGATGTCGAAAAAAGGACATGGCGGACATGGTTTCCAATTTTAAGACTACCATTGAGTTTGTTCCGTTTTTTTCTTTCCATTCACCATTAAAACCATTGGGAAATTATCTACCAAAATGGTCATCCATGACTTGCATGACTTGGGTGCCCCCGGGAACTTGGGAAACCTCTTGAGTATATCATCAGTATATCAAATATCAATGATCTATAGTTGATTAAGACCTTTTATAATGATCATCAATGATCTATACTTGTTGGTTATAATGAGCACCACATTCATTTCAAGGTCAACCAATTCCACCCGCTTCGAGGTGCTGCTCGCCTTCACCGAAGCCCAGCTGAAACGTGGACCGGACCTTCTGAAGGTCGGACCAAAGTCACGGCGGGAAGGGTCGAAGGTGGCTGAGCCGGGCTATTGGGCATTTTTTCTGGAGCGATTTTGGGGTATTTTTACCTCCATACCGAGAGAGGCCTGCTTTTTAAGGCTTTCTGTGATGAGGATTCTGACTTGAGAATTTTGGGGAACGGGGAGAAACCATACGCCGAAGAAACGGTCTAATTTGCCCAATGAATTGGAGCTTAAGAACCACAACGTCAGCCAGTCGGGCCGGGACAGCCCCCTGGAACCCTGGGAATTTGCTGTCGGATTGAACGCTTTGTTAGTGGAATTATGCACAGGTGAGACCTCAACTTTTGAGGCGGTCCATGCTCGATGATCTCACTGCCTAGATAGTTTGCTTTGACTTGATAAGGAGAGTAGTGAATATAGATCAGACATTTTTTGTTTTTGTTTTTTGGTCATGAATTTATTGTGCTGTTTGAAAGCTTGCAGTACCACCTGGCGACTTTGTGAATTTGAGATTCCTGGTGTTTGCACTGGCTTGCGCCATATGCTTGTCAAAAGCTAGCAATAAATATCAGGATCCCATCAGGATCATCAGGGGCGTTGGCTTTCATTCAATCTTCATGTCTTTCTCCATTTTTTTTGGCTCAGATATGCTCAGATCTTCTTCCTGCTAAAACCTCCACTGTTGATGAAGATCATCTCGCAACTCCAAAAACTATCAAAAGCTCACCCAAGACCCGTGGCGATATTGCTGTCGAAGTGTCACACATTGGAGAAACACATGGGCAGGCCCCGCGACAGATGCTCCCGCGACTCCTAGGTGGGGTTGAAAATGCTTGAAAGCAGTGGATGGCAACGGGTTTTTCTCATAATTTTTGGACTCAATTTCCGTTGATGTTTCAATTCATCCGACACTTTGGTGTAAAATCCATATTGGTGGATGCTCATGTCCAATTTTTCGTGGCGATTCCCCAGGGCTTGTTTGATGGATTTTGGTCATCGTGGCTTTCCGGGATAATCCATAGTTTTGACCCGAAAGTTGAGTAAGTCCTGCTGGTCAAATTCACTGGGTGACAGGGTAGTGCCTATTCAGATTTCCCTAACCGAGCAGTACAGCAATGGTATGCAATGGTGTTTCAAAAAACGCCTCAGTTGATCAGCTTCCAATACCTCTGTAGGTTATATAATGATATATGTATGGGTTCTACTGGCTGGTCTATATAATGGGGAATATTATGAAACATTTAGATTGGTGAAACTATTTCAATATTATGAAGCATTATGATATGGTTGTTAACATTGCACGCGGGTTCGGGTACACGCGCGCACCCTGAAAAGCGTCAAAGCCGCAAAGCAGCAAAGCCGCAATGGAACGCTCAAGCCGCAAAGCCGCAAAGCCGCAAAGCCGCCCGCCATGGAACGCTCAAGCCGCAAAGCTGCAAAGCCGCAAAGCCGCAAAGCCGCCATGGAACGCGCAAGCCGCAAAGCCGCAAAGCCGCAAAGAGCTGCCATGGAACGCTCAAGCCGCAAAGCCGCAAAGCCGCCGAGCCGCAAGCTCTGCGACTCATGCGCCGCCTCCTGCGTTCATCGCCGCTGCGTTGCCACCGCCATGGATCGCTGAAGCCGAAAGCCACAAAGCCACAAAGCCGCAAAGCCGCAAAGCCGCAAAGCCGCAAAGCCGCAAGCTCTGAGACGCAGGCGCCGTCTCTTGTGTTCATCGCCGCTGTGTTGCCACATTACATGCTCGCATCGTCATGATATTCATCGCGCAAGCGCTTGCGTTCCCCTTGGTGCCGTCTCATAGCCTGCCGAGCATATTCCAGCATAGCTTCTCTTCGACGGAGACTCTGCTGCTCCAAATGCTCCTGAGCTATCTCTGCAAGCTGCTGAACTGACCCTTCGTCCTCTGCAGTTGTGATGGCAGGGGCAGTAACCTTCTCGTGCATGCCTGGGTATGCCAGTGCCGCAGGCGCCAGAGCCCACTCAATCAATCCGGGGTGCTGCTCTTCAAAGAAAAATTTGAAAGGCTGTGGGAGCCCCTGCAACGTCAACAAGGACAGGCGTTCTTCACGTTTCCGTGGACCGTCATGGCTCAAGGCCCGAACCAACTGAGTAAGGTGGAGGCTCAGCGCCATGTTAAAAGCGCGGTATGTCGTCGACTTCTCGAACCACGCATCCTCTTTAGCGTATTGCCAGAAGCTATACCGCGAGCAGCATAACGAAAACACCTGCTGATTGAACAAGTTCTTGGCGTTCCTCGTAGAGTCCGGAAGACACGTCTCTGCACACTGGTTCAATGCTGTCTTGAAGCCCTTAGCCCAGTTGCTGGCCTGCTGTGAGGGCAGTCTCAGGGAAATGCCAGTGATGCGCAAGCGTGGCTTGCCTGACTTGCATTCCACCACCGATCGTCCAACTTCAGCCCCAGTCCTGCTACAGTCGCATCAGGATTTAGGTTACCCTTTAGTTTACTGCAGGGATTGCGCACGAAGATTTGAGATGTTTGGAGCAATGCTTAGGGTCCGAGTATCCTCGAACCCAAAAAACAATTCACATTTCCGAAAAATCTATTCTGACTGTGCTAGAGACCGTCTTACATATACTACCCACCCTCCTGCCACGACATTGTTTCACAGACGGTCCAAGGGCTAAACTTCCATCTCCCGCGGCCAACTTCCTACATACCTACGCGTGCGAGCGCACCATTGAAAAAACAACAGACATACTCCCGTAGATGGACGAATTATTCAAACCCTTTTACGTATAGAGCAACCCCCCCTCACCCCAAATATCAATGTTATTTTCTTGTTTGGTTCGTTCCTTCGAATGGACGAAATAAATCAAACCCCCAGAGCAGGAACAGCGCTACGAAACCATAACGTTGAAATTCCGGGGAGGTAGGGGGTGGCCTATAACTCATGGATAGGGGTTTGAATAATTTGTCCATCTACTGTCGCACATCTCTCACGTTGTCTCCCCTTGGCCCATGTGGCCCATCCATCCTATCCTTATTCCCTGCCCTCAATCCCCCTACTTGCCATTCCTCCTGTTCTTCACGATCTGCTCCAACGGGCATGCAACATGAACAGCGGCTCCTGCAAAAAGCTCAAGCGGAGTAAACCCCCACTCGTAGCAAAAGCCTCGCTGTGTGGTGATCCACACGCCGGTCACCCCGTGACTTCGTTTGGAGGACCGCAGTCCCTGCATCAATATCGTAGGCAGGATGCTACTGCGCGTCCCATGGAATCCCTGGACCTCGTTCTCGACGATCGGGGTGCCGTCCTGGTACGTGGATGCATCCAGCGCCGGAATGAAGAGCACAGCCTCGCTCTACACGTCTGGAAATCCATCTTCTACATATTGAAAAGCCAGCTGATCGAAATCCAGCTTGGCCATCGGCATCTCATGGGATTCATGGGTCTCTGATGTCTTTGATCGACTCCCAGATCCCTCACATCCCCCAAAGAATTATTTCGAAACGCATGCAGCAGCTGCAGACCAAATTGCCGTGACTCCTGGCTCCACTCCCCCAAGGAAACAGCGCTGCGCAATAGCCGCAGGGTTCCTCGTCCATGCAGAGAAGCCAATACCAGGCCTCTGCCCTCCTGAAGCCACAGACTCAGACTGCGCAACTGATCTAGCCACGTTTTCCCAGTTGCTACTGGCTTCTGTCGAGTCCTCGGCTTTCAGCGCCTCCAAAGAAGGGAACCCGAGAAGGTTTAGAGCTAAATGCCCTAGTCCATAACCAAATGTCATTGAAACTCAGTGCCCTTACTGACATGCTAGTCCTTTCTTGTCGACATCAATCTTCTCACAAGAGAACTCTCCACATCTGGTTTTGACTTCGGGAAAGTCAATATTAAAAATCTAGATCCCTTTTCGATAAAAGCTTGCCCAAAATCTAGATCGTTCCGGAGAGAGAGGATTTCTCGAAACGCTTTTCCATCTATTCCGGAACGACTATATAGATTTACATATATAACTAGCTCTATATGCATATCCACGCCTATGCATGAAAGCGGGAAATAAATAATAATTTAGATGAAAAACTTCTAAGTGGCCAACACGAAAATTCCAAGTTACAAACCATTGACAACTGAAGCTCACAAAGCCAAAGCCTCAAGAAGCGCCAAAGCGTCAAAGAGTTGCAAAGCGCCACAGCGCATAGCAGCGCCAAAGCGTCAAAGACGCCAAAGCGTCACAGAGCCGCGAAGTCTCAAAGCGCCAAGAAGCGCCAAAGCGTCAAAGAGCCGCAAAGCGCCAAAGGGCCAAGAGGCACCAAAGCATCAAGAGCGCCAAGCGCCAAAGCGCCAAAGCGTCAAAGAGCCGCAAAGCGCCAAAGGGCCAAGAGGCACCAAAGCATCAAGAGCGCCAAGCGCCAAAGCGCCAAAGCGCCAAAGCGCCAAAGCATCCAAGCGTTCAGGCTTTGAGGCTTTGAGGCTTTGAGGCGTAGGACACGCGCCAAAGCGCCAAAGCATCCAAGCGTTCAGGCTTTGAGGCTTTGAGGCTTTGAGGCGCCGGAAAAGCGCCAAGAAGCGCCAAAGCGTGCAAGAGCCGCCAAGCGCCAAAGCGCCAAAGCGCCACAGCATCCAAGCGTTCAGGCTTTGAGGCTTTGAGGCGTCGGAAAAGCGCCAAGAAGCGCCAAAGCCTGAAAGAGCCGCCAAGCGCCAAAGCGCCAAAGCATCCAAGCGTTCAGGCTTTGAGGCTTTGAGGCTTTGAAGCGTGAGGCGCCAAAGAGGCTTTGCAGCTTTGAGGCTTTGAGGCTTTGAAGCGTGAGGCGCCAAAGAGGCTTTGCAGCTTTGAGGCTTTGAGGCGTGAGGCGCCAGAGAGGCTTTGGAGCTTTGAGGCTTTGAGGCGTGAGGCGCCAAAGAGGCTTTGCAGCTTTGAGGCTTTGAAGCTTTGAGGCGTGAAGCGCCAAAGAGGCTTTGCAGCTTTGAGGCTTCGCAAACCTTAGCGGGCCTGATCCCCCATACTCTGGTTGTTAAGAAATATACGTTATGAGATATATTTCAATTGGTTCACGCTATATTTTTTTGAATCCATATCTCATATCAGTATATCAGTTGGAGGAATTCCACCATAGCTATGGGAAACTTCTATATAACCAAGGTCAGCTTGCTGTCGTGCTGCTGCTGAGCATCGTCGGGTTCCTGAGATTTCATGAAATACCGGGGGCGCGGTTGAGGTTGTGGGAAGGTTTTCCCCCAAAAAATGCTGGGAAAACGCGTCATGTTCCGAAAATGTCATTTTTGTGGGATATCCATCATTTTCAGACACAGCTATATATTTGGAGTATGTATGTCGATGTACCTGATGATGTTTGTAGATGATAGATATTTAATATGATATTGTTGGTCGGTGGTCGAACCATTACCATTGGTCAAACATCCACATCTTCCCATTTCTTCTGGGTGTCTGAAATCAGAAACGCCGCACTTTCGGGTTTTGCTGCTAGACAGCTTTGCAGCGAGACAATTTTGGTATGTTCCAGCTAGACAGCTAAAGCGTCCCAGATTTCTATCACAAGCATCCCCGGATTTCTATTCTATGATCATATTTATTTATCTGTCCATCCATCCATCCATCCATCCATCCATATGTACATAATGTATATATATATATATATACACACATTATACACGTACATAGACAGCTATGATGATATCCATACAATCCATGCTGGCCAGGGACTCTTCTGTTTGCTGGCGACCATTGCCTTGGCTCCCACCAGGTGTCAGAATGGACATATCAACTGGGGCACGGCATTGATCATGATTTTCATCCATGGTTTTTACTATTTGGAGACACAAAAAGAGAAAAGTAGGAAGACATGTTGGGGTTTCTTTCAACATGGACGACCCCAAAATCATATTTGTTTTTTTTTATTTGTTTAATTATTAAACAGGAAAAACCTTAGGAACCTTGGAAGACCATTGGAAAAACCCATTGACGCGACAATTTTGGATAGTGAGAATGGGTTCCCTATTTTAACAGGCTACCCTCCAATATATATATATATATAATCAAACATGGCACTGGATTTTTTCCCCATCATTTATAGATGATTTTCCCATTAACACCTTCATTTGTATGACATTTTCGTTCCCATGATTACCACGCACCCGATTTAGGGGTAGCCATTTTCCAGTGCCACCTGTGGCGTTGTCGGTAATCCCTCTGCAGAACACGCCCCTTTTCTCTCTTGGTCAAGATCCTCCCTTTCATTGGTTTACATTCTCGCGCAGTACGCTCCTGAACTTCTTTTGCCTACATTATCGAAGGAAGTTTAGAAGTCAAACTTCCGACAACATGGACAGATGAAAAAGTAGAGGTGGGAAGAGTCAGAGAAGAGAAGAAGAAGAAGATCAGAGAAGAGAAAGAGTGAGAAGAAAGAAGATGCAGGTGCGCGAAAAGGTAGAAAAGTTGCGAATCAATGTGTTTTTCCAATGATTGCGGAGTTGAAAAGTAGCCTCGCTAAAGCGGCGGGTGCGGAGCCATCTGGCCGGATGAGAGATGAAAAATTGCACGCCGTTTCGGCGCGAAGCACATTTCGAAGTCAAAACGTACAAAGCACGTCAGCTTCGGAGCACTTTTAGGAATTGAGATGTGGAAAAAGCGCACGCTGTTGTGGCGCGAAGCGCGTTTCGAAGTCAAAATGTACAAAACGCACCATTCTCGTTCAAAAAGCGTGCGCCATTGTGGCGCGAAGCACATTTCGAAGTCAAAATGTACAAGGCACATCAGTGTCGGACCACTTTTGGAAGTTGAGATGTTGAAAAAGTGCACGCCGTTGTGGCGCGAAGCACATTTCGAAGTCAAAAGTGTAAAGAACTGGCGGGGGCGAATCGCTTTTGGACGTTCAGATGTTGTTTTGCGTGGCAGGCGCAAGGGACTGTGCACCTTGTCAAAAGTGCGCAAAACCTGAGGGTTCTGTAGCCAGTTTCAAAAGCATTGGCAGGCGTGGGACACTTGAAGAGGATCTGCAAAGATGCATTTTCTGTGGCAGGCGCAGTACAAGAGACATGCTCATCAGAGATGTTAGGACGTCGGGCGCTGATTTCCTGAGGGGGGTTGCATTTTGGAGCATCAGATCTTCAGGTTTGGTAAGGTAATTTTGCGTGACAGGTGCAGCACTTCGTATGACCTGGCCTCACTTTTTCGTGGCACACGCAATACTTTAGACACATGGACTGGAAAAATCGCAAAACGCATTGGCGCGAGGCCGTCAGCTCTGCAGTCAGCTTTCCATTTTTGAAGGAAGTCTCGCAGAATTGCTTCGTTTTTGATGCTGTCAATTTCCAAAATTGAGAACGTCTCGCAGAATTGCTTCGTTGTTGACGTTGTCAAGTTGGAAAATTGTAGATGTCTCGCAGAATTGCAGTGTTTTTGATGTTGTCAAGTTCAAAAACTGAGGACGTCTGGCAGAACAGCTTCGGTTTCAAGCTTGCCGATGCACAGATGGATAGATAGATAGACAACTACAAGTACAACTACTACTACACTACACTACGCTACACTACGCTACACTACACTACACTACACTACACTACGCTACTACTACAACTACAACTACTACTTCTACTACTACAACTACTACAACTCCTACTACAACACTGCTACAACTACAACTACAGCTACAACAACAACAACAACAACTACTACTACAACAACAACAACTACTACTACTACTACAACACTACTACAACACTACTACAACACTACTACAACACTACTACAACACTACTACAGCTACAACAACAACAACTACTACTACAACTACTACTCCTACTACTCCTACTACGACGACTACCCCTACTACGACTATGACTACGACTACGACTACGCTGCTACTACTACTACTACTGCTACAACTACAACTACAACCACAACCACAACTACAACTACAACTACAACAACAACTACTACTACAACAACTACAACTACTACTACAACACTACTACAACACTACTACAACACTACTACAACACTACTACAACACTACTACAACACTACTACAACACTACTACAACTACTACTACAACAACAACAACAACTACTACTACTACAACAACAACAATTACTACTCGTACTACTCGTACTACTCCTACTACGACTACTACTCCTACTACTCCTACTACTCCTACTACGACTATGACTACGACTACGCTGCTACTACTACTACTACTACTACTACTAGTACTACTACTTCTACTAATAATACAAATATACTGCGCTACATTACACAACACTAATTACACTACACTACACTACACTAATTACATCTAATTAGAGTACTACACTACACTAATTACACTGGGCAGTTTTGCGTCGCCGGGCCGAACTCGCCAGCTCTGGGGACATTGGCATTGCCAGACCGGCTGCTGCCTTGCTTCTGGCTGCTGATCCTGGCCGTTAGTTTCGTTCCGCTTCATGTCCACGAACACCTGCGGCCTTCGAGAAGCCCTTCTGAGTCTTCGTGACCGCTCACCGCTGGATTGTCCTTGTTTTGATCCCTGCCTCATGGATTGCTGGCTTTCTTTTTTCCACGCTCTCCAATGGACAGCGGCAGAGGTCTCAACGAAGTTTTTCCCGTGTATTCCAGGTGATGTTTGTCCACCTTTTCTTTCACACAAACGCATGCTTTGTCCAGTTTCTTTGCATGTGCGTTTTCCACTGTACCTATCCTTTTTTCCTTTCTTGCCGTGGCTGTCAACAGCAACAGTTGCGGTCCGGTACAGTGGCAGCACAGAGCTTCCACATGGTACTTTTTGTGTGAAAGGGCCTCAGTCCAATCACTACAACTACTACGACTACAACAGCTACAACCACAATAACAACTACACTACATTACGCTACATTACACTACACACACTAATTACACTGCAGCACACTACAGCTACAACTACAAATACAACTACAACTACACTACATTACACTACGCGACGCTAATTACATCACATTACACTACATTACGTTACGTCACCTTACGTTGCGGTACGTTACATTACATTACGTTACGTTACATTACATCGCAGTATAAACGCAACTGCAACTACAATTACAACTACCACTACATTGCCCTAACTACACTACACTACACTACACTACGCTACGCTACACTACACCACACCTACCCTACACCTACACCTACCCTACCCTACCCCTACCCCACCTTGCTCTACCCTACCCTACCCTACAGCTACAGTTACAACTACTACTAGACTACTTTACACTACACTACGCTAGACTACACTACACTATACCACAACTACACTACACTGTACACAACACTACAGTACACTGCAGTACGCTACGCTAATTACACCACACCACAACTACAACTGCAACTGCAACTACACTACTCTAATTTCACTACAGTACAACTACAACTTGCAACAACAACTCCACTACGCTAGACTACAACTACAACTACAACTGCACTACACCACACTACATCCAACAGGTGTGGTGAGGTGACCACTGCAACCATTGCAACCGGTCCAAAAAACACAGCTCCAACCACCTTTCGGTCCATCAGTGGGTTCGCTCTGCCATCCGTGATTCACAACAACCAACCTCTCCTCATGGTTTCCTATTTGTGAAACTCCGCCACCGCCTTTTGCGGCACTACTGGTACATGACATGTTACTCTTATGTAGATTTCTTCCCAAACCAATTCTCTGGTCCTTTTCCCAAACCTTTCATGAAGGGTGCTCTTCAGCAGGAGTTTGACCTTCAAAGCTGGAAGCATTGTGGATGATGCGGGTGCCGTGGCTGGCGCTACCTCAGTCAGCACGTTGGGGCGTCTCAGCGAGGATGGCCAGGATGCCCCCCCCAAAATCGCATTTTTTTTTTTGAAAGTGAGGATCCTTCAATGGATGGGGACAAAACCATAGTACGGGAAGAACAAAAATCTTTTAATAGTGGCTGCCGCTCCAGGGAATGTGACACTCAAGACCACAAACTAATCCAATGTAGAAACCTTCGGACTGTAAGTGAAAACTTGCAGGTTCACATTCTCCAAAGCAGGATTTCCAAAGAAAGAAAAACTCGCACACCACTCATCTGTGGTAGCCGGTAGCCCATCCTTTTTATCAAAAAACCAGAAACTGGTCGCAGAGTCGATCTGGGCCACAAAAATCTTCCAAAAAATGCACTTTGGGCAAATCCACAAGTGATCCCAAAATGAACTTGAATGGTGGAAAACTGGAGGCCCCAGGGTCATTACATCACGTTGTTTTTGCGGATTTTTGAGGTACATCTCCAAGTGGGTTGTCTCAAAATAGGGGGGTTTACACGTATTTACTACCAATTTATGGTTATAACGGGGCAAATGAATACACCATTATATATACGTGGAATAAGGTTCGCAATGCTTGAGACAAAAATCGTGGTTTGTTGGAGCTGAAGTTGTCTTATCTGCAAGGAATCACTTGCCCTTTGGCCGGGGTGAGAAGGATTTACTGTAGGTGCCCCCAAAGAATGGGATGGTTCACTGGACATATCAAAAATTGGTTCCAATTTTGGAGAGCAAATTTTAAGATCATTTTTACCCAAAGATGAAGTGATTAAAGATGACTGGGTCGCTTGGTATCTGTAGTTTCCGCCGAAATCTTGACCGCCATTCGGCGTTGAGGCAAGCACTCTGGGATTTCCCGAAGCTCACGTTCGAGCAGCTGCGACAGGCCGATAGGGTGAGGG